CATTCTTCCTTCAACCTGTACAACATTGCCTGTGCCAGAGGGTGGGTGTCTTCAGCAACGGTGGCCCCGCAGGGAATGGGTGGAGGCCAGGCAGGCTTTACAGAAGCCCAGCCACACCGGACATGACCCAGAAGCAAATCAGCAACGTAGAGCTCTGTCGGACTCACTGGAGTCTACCTGGAGCTGAAAGTGACCTTTCCAAGCCTGATTCTCCCCAAATTCTCTTAAGCCAGATTTACTGAGCTGGGGATGTGGTTACCAGAATTCCAGCAACTGAGCTCTTTCCCATTTACAGTCAGTGCTTCCTGTGGCCGTTAGCATGGAGACCTTTTGGTTTTCCTTCTAACAGCCTTCCAGTCACCCATTTCACTGATAATGGAGGAGATTGCTGTTTACATACCTGTCTCTTCTTCCACACCTGAATCTTCATTAATCTGGGAACCAATTGCCACAGTATTATTCTGCTATAGCTTGTCTCACCGATCAGGTGGCACCTGCATTTTGCTTTCAAAATTGTTTTCGAGGGCAGTCCCACATTCAGTCCAGGCCTGAGCTGATCAGGGCATGAATCACTGGTGGCAAAGCCACCCGTGCCAGACAAACCACAGCCAAGGATCTCCTAGCCATGGTGTTTCATCCAGGGAGTAAAGGCAGAGCCAGTATGAGTTCCTTTCTAATGTTTCCTTTGCTTCCCAGGCTTAAAACATACTTTTGTAACTGTTACCGCATAGTTTCTCATCTCTGTGGCTATCCACAGTGTAACTCTTTCATGGTTCAGGGTGGAGATCGCAATTGGGTATGGTCAGCATATTGAGGATTGTGATCTTCTCAGAACCTGGGAGGGAGGAGGCCCTTTGAAAAAGCAAGCTCTGAACATCTACACATCCCTTCTCTATCACAGAACCAGTCCCATTAGCTCTCCTGTCCATCAGGGATGGTGAGCAAGAGAATGCATAAAGTTCCACCATAGCAGCTCAGAAATAAATTGGGTTCCAAAAGTGAAGAATTCTGGTCTTTGACATTTCTATATTCTTATCCCTTTCCTTTTGAAATAAATTTGATTTATAGAAGACTGAGAATCTGTTTTCTGCTACTAAGAGCTGGACAATACCCCGCCCCGGATGAGTGATCTCATACAGATGTTCAAAAGAGCAGAGGAGAGGGCTGAGACCTGGAGTAGCCATCTGCTCATTAGGAAGCAGCAGAGTCACTGCAGAAGAGGGCCCCCAACCCTCGCAGGCAATCCAGAAAGGTTCAGTTCATAAGTGTTGAACTCTGTGACGAAATTGGATGTCCTCCACTTCCTTCTTCGGGGACAGAGGCGCCTCCACCCCAGGGAGGCATTCGCTGCTGCTTGAACCCAGCTCCTCCCCTCCCTGGCAGCTCAGATCAACTAGGAGAGGCAGTGATAGGTGGTTGAACGTATCCTGCAGGCTTCTTTAGAAATCTCTTGGATTAAATGCATGCAAGTTTGTTTTGATGAGCAGCATATAATATGTTCACATTCCCCAGGGGAAGCCTTTCCATGGTGCTTCCAAGAGGGAAGAAGTGGGTCGCAGCAAAATAATTTTCCAGGTTTGTGATCAAAATGCAGACTTGCTTAGGAGGGAGGTAACTCCAGTTTCATCACTGACTGTGGGGTGTTAGCTTCTAGGATATATTTAATTGAATCCATTCTTCCTTCAACCTGTACAACATTGCCTGTGCCACTGGCTGCCACACAGCCTCAGGCCATAAAAGAGCCACTCCTGTGTTTAATGGCTGTCAAGGTGTTTCATGAATCTAAACCATGTTCAGAAAAGCTTCAGGTTTATTCAGGTTTTCTTTTGCGTACTTAAGACGGTTACTTTTATTATGAGGTTGGAGAAAATGACAACTTCTGACAACTCTGATGCAGATCACTCTTGTATAATCAGCCCTGCCCTGTGGGGTTTTGTTTTGCGGATCAGACCAGTCTGGAGGCAGTTCTGACAGAAGGTCTTTTGGTCTTCAGGCTAATGAACCATAGTTCTGTATAGGAAGGGGGTGCTGGTTAAAAGAATATTGGAATAGTAGATTTATTCAGGTTGAATATTGTTCAGTATTGTTTGTTTATTATATTTCTAATATGCCACAATCTGTTAGTCTCTGGGCAGCTTACATTAAGGGGAAAAAATTTAAAGCATCCACAGTAAATTTAAAACATAAAATCAGTATTAGGAATGCTAAAAATAACGTCTCAGAAAGATAATAAAAGAACAGCCCCCAACCCCATTTTAGGCAGCCTCTGCAGGCGCAGAGTTCTTAAATGCTTGATAGTGGCAGCTCTGCTTTGCCCTGTGCTGGTCAGATCCCTGTCAAGGGCTGGGTCCAGCGCGCGGCATCGTGCTTTATGGAAGAGCACCGTCTCTGAAATGCCACCGTGTAATACTGCAATGTGTAATTGTGTCATGATCCCCTGTTCAGGGGAACGTCAAAATGAATTATTTTAGTAAACAAGATTGTATGCCATGTGGTAGGCTATCCTATATATCTCTGTTCAGCTGGAGATTTCTGCCCCCATAGCAACTTCCTTTTCATTACATTATAGTTAATTTTCATTCATCTAAATATATTAAGTGTAATGTTTTGTCTCACGAGTACGGATAGAAAGGAAGCTGCTTTTCCATTCATATCTCATAGCATTTAAGCTAATGCTTACTCCATTTTTACCCAGATGGCCATTTTAAGCTACTTTCTGGAATACTTCTAAAATTTCCCCAATATCTTTCGTTGTTTTAATAGCTCCTGAATCGTATGAGCAGCTTCAGTCTTTAATGTTGGGAAGAACAACAGAAGAACAAATGCATGTCATAGAAAGAATTCGGAAGACAAATCATCCCAGTCTTGCTGTGGGGAACAAAGCAAAGTTAGAAGTACGTTTTTGCAGTCATATGTATTCATCAAAGAACAATGCAAGTGTTTCCTGTACAGTGATTCAGAATTTCATTTGTTAATCATCTTAAAAATTATATTTCACAGAAACTATTTGGATTTCTTTTGGAGTATGTTGGCGAGTTGGCTCGTAAGGAGCCACCAGAACTGAAAACAGTTGACAAGCTTGTCGTGTAAGTATGGCACCTTATGCCTGGGGATTTCAGCCTCTAAACAGCTGTTGGATTATGCCAAGCTAAATACAAAATGTGCAAGAGTTTTGCAGCAAAGACAGAACTTGGTCCTTTCAATCAACATCTTCCAAGTGCTGCAGTGGAGCTGCTTGAGGCTGTGGCTGGGTTGCTTGTTTCAGACGTCTTCCAGCCCAGCCCAGCCCAGCCCAGCCCAGCCCAGCCCAGCCCAGCCCAGCCCAGCCCAGCCCAGCCCAGCCCAGCCCAGCCCATGTAACAGTCAGAATCAGTGGTGTCACTGCTCTGGTTGGTCTAAAGTCAGTGGGGTGGTTGGGGAGGGGAGCGCTGAGAGAAAAGCAACACCAGAGCACGTGGCTG